TATGACCTTGCGGTGCACCAGCAACAGCGGAACAAACCACATCCTCCACTTGTAAAAAGTCATCTTGAAGTATTAAGTGTAATTTAGAGTTTTTATTTTTGTTGGAATCAGTGTGTTACAAAGGGAATGACCAGTGTCTCCTGACTGCATCATGGAAGAAAGTGAGAATGAAATGAGATCAGAATAATGACAACAACGTTGGGAAATGTGAAGAAACGAGGAGTGGAAGGTGACGTACACTGGCAGTTCAATGGGAACGTGTGCCCAAACCTCTGACTGGTAGTGTAAATACAATGAGGTCAAAAAGAGAAAAGTAGAATCGATGAGCAGCCGATGGGAGGATGAAGAAGACAGAGAGGAAGGAAATGAACACACAGAAGAGAAGTAGAAAGAGGTGTGAAAGTATGAGAAAAACATGGAGGAGGAGGAGGGAGATGGGGATGCAGAGAGGGGGGAGGATAAGAAGAGAGGGTGCGATTTAAAAAAGGAAAGGCTGCAAGCACAAATGAAACGACGGGATCAGTGTGAACAAAATAAAAAAAGGTGAGAAGCTGAAGATGAAGAGATTGAACAGAGCAGCCCGGGGCTGAGGAGGATACACAAGTCATTGCAGAAAATAGAAATGGTGAAGAAGTGCACGCGCACACACACACACACACACAGAGCCAAAGAAGGTGGTGGCCTTAATGTGGAATATAGGTTATAGTGGTATATGGTTCTAGTCAGAGTGAACTGCAGTTAGAAACAACCCTCAGCTTCGACCTCTTCACAGCCTGGATCAAATCTCAAACAAACATTAACAGCTACCTACAAACACTGGTCATCGTCCTGAGTGAAGTGTGTGTACAGTCAGAAGAGCTGCCGGCCTCAAGGATGTTCAGATGTTCACCCACTTCCAGAGGAAAACCCTGACGAGGGCTGGTTTTGTCTGAGGTGCTAGCCGAGTGTTTTTAGTGATGTGAAATATACACGTTTAATGGACAGAGCACGGCCCAAACCCAGGACAATTGCAGGTTTCATAAAGCTAAAGATTAGACCCAGCCCTATTAGACCCCACACAGGAAACACACACAGAAGATGGGAACAATATCAGGCACAATGAGCAAAAACACACCAGGAGTTATGGTACAAAACACGAGCTGTTAAAGTAATAATCCTGTGCACAGCCAGAGAAAACAGACTGCTCATCCATCCAACTGGGTGGCAAAGGGAAATAGGATTCTCATACGTCACAAAAATATGAGTCCAACTCACACCAGGGATGTTTAGATATAGAATCTTCTTTTTTAATTTACACACATAATCGTGAGGAACTTTAGAAACACACCTATTTAAGATCATGAGAGGAGCGAGCCTGAAGAAGCTGCTCATAATGTGTAAATTAATAAAGATTCTATATGTCCAACAGTGTTTAGTAGGTGGTGGCCTGTTTTCTGATAGTTGGCACAAGTTATGTGCTAAATTAACACAACACATTAAACTGACTTTGCTTGACTGTTTTAGACATGATTGCATTGCTGCTACACACTCTCTCTCTCTCACACACACACACACACACACACACACACACACACACGTCAGCCTTGGTTTTGTCACTTACCGGGTCCCTACATAGACTTACATTCATTTCCAGGAGACTTACTCCAACCTTAACCAAAGCCTACACTTGTTCCAACCTCACACCCCATCATCCTCATAAAACTCGACAAACTACATTGTGGGGACCAGCCTCCGGTCCCCATGAAGATAGTAACTCGTGGATTATGGGCCACAAGTACAGAAACACAAGGCCACAGTGAGCCAGTCCGTGCAGACAACAGGTGCACACCACAGTTAGATAATTCAACAGTGGACTAAGCCGATGAAGACACTTTCTGCTTTGACAGGAGGGTGAGTCAGGTTTGTGAGCCAAGCACAGGTGTGTTACTGGGGTGCAGGTGTTTCAGACAGACACACAAATGGAAGACAAAACACACACAATGTAATCTCAGTCCCATGCGGTGGTCTAACCTGAAGCCCTGCCCCGAGGCTCTGTACGAGCATTACGCCCCCGGGCTGCAGAGAGGACACACACAAACACATGACAGTGGACTCAGACACGTATCCACGAGAGGAATCAATGACTCCAATTACCACAAACCTTGACCTTGATGCTACATCAGAACACACAACTACAGAGGCGACTGGATGTGTTGTGTCTGTCTCATCACTACCTAAAAAGTCACATACATGTGGATATCAAACTATTTATTCCGATCATTTAAACCGAGTCACACTCTGGCTTTGAGGGCTATCGCCACTTTACACAGAGGGACCAATGTCACTTTTTGTAACCACTTATTTATCAAGTACAAGCGCAGCATGTTTTTACATTAATGCTAAAAGCACGGCACATTTTAAAGCACATGGAACAAAACTAAGCAGTTACAAAATGTTAAATGTTCCCAATTTAAAACAAAAATGAATTCTTGCAGGTCAGACAGTCGTGAATTTTAAGGCTTTGCTCCTGTGATGTACAACTGTCATTTCTAATAACTAATAGTCTAACGGACGACTAACGGACGAACCAGGAAAACTATCGATATTAATAGTGAAAATTAGTTACAAGTTGTTGGAGAGCATCTTTTTGACATGTTTTATATACTGTTTGTTAGTTTATGCTGCTCAAGGCTGATACTTCATCTCCTGGTTTGTCCTCTTACATCACTCAGCACCCACAAAAGAAAACTGGGGTCCTTCTGAAAGCTTCACTTGACCGTGGCGTAACGGGTCGATCCGGGCTCCAGGGAAGTGCAGCAAGCATTTACATAACAAGCTTACTCAGCCTTCATTTACATAACGGCATAAACTGTCTGCAGGAGGGGGATGGTGCTGTCCTGTGGTACGTGTTTATCACGTGTGTATGTAGCATCAGGTCAGATGAGCGGAGACGTGGGTACGAGAGTGTGTGTGTGTGTGTGTGTGAGGACTTGCCTCTCCTGCTGCCCGGTTCAGACGTGACGCCCTCTGCCGCCACATACGGATCCTCCTTGAACCTGTTAAAAAAGCCACAGTTAGACACACACACACACACACCCAATATCAGCGTCCTTGTCGTCACGCTCCTCTGAGCTCCTGTCGGAATAAAGTTGACAACAAACACTTTCTACATCTGTCCAGCTGTGTCCATTTTAAATCTGTGTAGGACCTGAGATAAGAACTGACACAGTGCATGAAAGGCACGGTGGTTAGGCAAGAAGGTTCAAGGTTCGAGTCCACTGACTCGGATGAAAGGTTTTAAAATGCTCAGTTTGTGCACAAACACGTGCACTCAGCGACATGAGGAAAAGGCACGGACCAGGCGTTATTCCTGACCACAACACCTTTTAAGCTTGACGCTCTGACTTAATGTTTTCAGTGTTTCCCTTAAAACCAACCCTCCCCATTCTCACATGTTCTCCGTCTTCTGTGCGTCCCACTCCCGTCTCCATTGGCCTGTGGCGTTACGATGGCGTGCTAATCTTTCCTCGTCAATCTGCTCACGCTCCTTCTTCCAGCGCAGATACTCTGTTCTTTCCCTGCCCGTCATGGACATGGTCATGTCCACAGAGCCTTTTGAACTAGGCCTTCGACTCTACGGAGACAGAAGTAAAATTCTCATGAGAGAAACGGTTAATGCTAGAATCAAACTAGCTGCTGGAACAGGACTGACATAACTCAACCTTTTTAGAAGAACGTTACTTACGGTCCACTCTTTCTCCAGTTCAGCTCCTGTCTTCACATTGTCAAAGTCCAGACCTCCCCAGTTACGTACATGCCTCCTGCTGCCTTCCTTGCGGTCTATGTCTGGCGCCGGGCCTGAGCGTCTTGGGTCGTCCAGGAAGTTACGGATTGGCTTGTCTCCATCCGGCTAGGAGAAGGAATTCAAAATGTAATGCTCTGCCACATTAGATCCATTTCCAAAGTGAAGCCAGGTTTGCTTCTCACCAACATCATCATGACCTCAAGCTACTGATGATCTGCAGAGAAACAAAGTCAAGCCATTTGATAATCTAAAACTATAAGCAGCGATTCTCCTACCCGCTGTCCTCTCTCATACTCTGCTATTCTCTCCATCTCTTCATTCATCTTCTCAATGTTCTGTCGCCTCTTCTCCTCCCATTCCTGTCCACAAAACAAGATAATTAGTTCCATCCATCCATCATCTATACTGCTTATTCCAGAATAGGGCCCTGGGGGTCCCCCACCTCTCGCCCAGAGTCAGCTGGTCCACCCTGGACAGGTCGCCAGTCTATCACAGGACTGACATGTAGGCAAACACACTCACCCACACTGTACCTTATTACAGCAGGTCACTCACACTCACCTTGGACTTTCTGTCCATGCCACCTGGGGTCCCCACTCCTCCCCCTTCTCCTCCTCTTCCTCTCCTTCTTCCTCTGCGTCCCTGTCCTCCTGACTCCCCAGGTTCTCCATCTCTGGGCGTCCTGGGTTCCCACTCTCTCCTCTCTTGACGGCCTCCTCCTCCTCCTCCTCTCTGACCTCCCCAACCCATTCGTCCTGACCCCGTCCTCCTGGCTGGGCTATGACCGTCGCTCTGCCTTTTGTGGCCGTCGCTCTCCTCTGATGTCTTCCGACCACGAGGTATTCCAGGTTTCCAGTCGTTCACGACTCTCTTCTCCTGCAGGGATCAACGCACAGTCAATCATTTCAGTATGGACAGAACTTAAGCCACAGCTAGTGAGTGTGTGGACAGACAGGAACTTCTGCATGATCAGAAGAGTTCACCTGTGTATCATTACGTATATATGTTAAAAAAAAAAAACATTTGCCTTTTGCTGATGTAAAACACTGCCCACATATGACCTCATTCAAAAAGGTTTAAAATCGGCTGTTGACTACTCTGAATTGATGCCTGATTTGAGAATGTGACTCAGTGATTTGAAGGTCATCTTTTGTCCCCCTGTAATTCACAGAGCACTGACACAGAATCAGAGCTCAGGGAGCCTCACTCATTCGTGCATCCAGCACCTCACTGAGGTTTTGTGGACGTGCACACGACTGGTCTGTCATATTGTATTCTAGAAATGATATCTGGCTATAATATAATAAAGTGGTGAAAGGTTTATGAAAGTCCAGCAGCCACCTGCCTGATGGGGGAAAATCGTTTCCAGCCCTGAATTTAGCCCCTGTCCTTTTAATTTAAACAGCCCCAGTCTCCTTAATCTGAAGAACTGGTGCCATATAAAAATACAAAAGACTAATCAGGGCTATGGATTATGTAAAACTGCAACATGATGAACTTAGAGAGAGTGAGAGTCAGGGGACAAAGGCTGGGAGGCGATGAGAGGAAGAAGCAGCAACTCTTCATCAGTTCTTGAGATCAGCAGCTGGTGGTTAAGCTTTAGAAAAGGTTTGACAGTTTTATGAACTGAATTTGACCTTCTGATCCTGAATCAGTTCAGACAGGTACACATGTGGAACAGATGCCCCCCTTTTGTCCTTTGGGCCATTCTTTGTCTTGTCACCTTTACAGACCGACTGCCGAGGGTTTGCAGGCGTCACTGAAGCAACCCCGACCTCAGCGGGAGCCCACTGCACTGTTACGCCACCATCCCTCTCGGACCTGATTAGCACCGATTTCAGCTGCTCTACCGCTGCCTGCAGGAGGCCGGTTAAAAATGTGATGAATTCCAGTTGCTCTCATCATCATTCAACTCTATGCTCCAGCAGATAGTTAAAGCGGGAGGTGATGGAGACCAAACAACACGAGCTGAAAGGGAGTGAATTATGGACTTACATCCATCAGGTGGCCAGGTGAATGCTAATGCTGCTCAGTGCACTGTAAACAAAGCAGACACAGACAGCTTATAGCCGCTTCTAATCGAGAATATGTCTGATAAGAAGTTGCAAATGGCTCTGGTGCCGACAACCTTTGGTCTTTTGGTTGTGGAAGAAGAACGTGATGATTCGCTGAGCTGAACAGCCAGTCAGAGTGGTCGCTCTCACATACATGGTCCGCTGCCAACATGCTGAATCGGCTGAGAAGCTGCTGATAGGGTCCGACTGGAGCCAACGGTGAAGGACAAACGCTCACCAACAGTCGACCATCAGCTTTCGTCTACAAAACTATGTTCAGCTCTATTTTTCCTTCACGATTACCCATCAATAATATGTCAGTTATACAAATCACATTTATACTATTGATGATTTGTATGTTTCCTTCTTCACATGTTGAAATCTGTGTGAAAGCGTTTCTTAAAATGTGCAAAGAAGCTTTAGCTGGAGCATCAGAGTGCTGCAGCTGTTAGCAGTGTGATCCGTTTGTGCTCATATGGTGCAGATAACATGCAACAAACTGAGCATCATGCTGCTGTAACACATGGAACCACCTCTGCCCTGTTTTAAGACAAGTGCCAGAAACGTGCGCCTAATCAAATCTGTGCACGGCAGAAGCAGAGCCACATGGACAGCCGACAGAGAAACACATGCTAATGCAGGAAACGGCCGTAAACATCTCTTATATACCTTTGTGTGGTAAATTTTTAGTTTTTTAGTCATTTTCATGGTATTGTTCCATAGTGGTCTTCTTTTTTGGTAGAAGTGCTTTAAAATAATCCCACTAGTGTGTAAGAGACACGCGTGTAGTGTGTGTTTTTGTCTGCCTGAGAAAAGTCATCTTTGGACCTGGATGTCAGACGCTGTAGACAGCTGTGTGCCTCATTTTGACAGTGTGTATGTAGTTTTGAGAAAATTGGGAATTGCTTCAGAAAATGCGTCGGTAAAAACTGTAATCCAGTTTATTTTAACAAGAGTCATGAACAGACTCAGTCCAACCATCAGTGAAACAGTGCACGTAATGTTTTACATGCTCCTTTTAAACGTCTTCAGCATAACGTTAAGTTTGCCTGCAGAATCTTATGTACATGTAAATAGTAAAATGATGTCTTAGATCATCTCAAACGCAGCTCTCATCCCACACATGTAACATGACAGCAAAGGACTGACGCTGTGCATGACGGGTAGACTGGGAGGCATGTGGTTGGTAATGAGAATCTGTCAGAGCGAATGAGCTACGTGCTCCGTCTGCAGGATCCTCATAAAACAGATAACGACTTTACCTCTTCTACAGCCAGGGAAACAACATCCAGTGATGGAAAGACAAATCACGGTGCTCCTCTAACTGAGCTGCTGTGTCAGTGAATGTGTGACTGTGGCGAGGTGTTCCTCTGTCTTACCCCTGTCGGTTTAGAAAGATCGACTGTGACGGTCAGGTTCTCTTTTTCCATCTTCCTCCTGTCCGTCTCTGGCTCATGGGGACGGGGCTTTCGAGGTGTGGTCACAGCAATGCCCTCCTGCTCTGCCTTCTTCTTGTCCTCCTCTATTTCCTGTTGACATCAGTAAAATTTAAGTTTGGCCTAAACTCAAAATCAGTCTAACTCCAAGCAGGTTTGACACGTGTTGTGTGAACTAATGGTGAATGGTGATTAAATCTTTGTGAATACCTCAGAAAAAATAAATATTACATCCTTTTATTTTGATAGATTTTCAGAATTTAGGAGGGACACTACGTTACTACTCTATGATCCAGCATCCACTCATGAATAAATGTGCACCAAACGTCACTTAGAAATTGCAGGTCTACTTAAAAAACTCAGAGATATTATTCTTAATGAAAGCAAAAGAGGATGCTACCCTTTAAATCCTGCAGCAGGATGCCCAACGTGAAGGATCCACAAATATACATTTTGTGTGTCTGTGTAAAACCTACGATCTCCGTACCTGGTACCTTTTGACCAGAGCTTCATTCTTCTTCCTCAGAGCTTCGATTCGTTTGTCCAGCTCTGCATCCTTCTCCTCCTTGGTCTTGAGGTCCACCGCTGAAGACTGGCAGAGAGAGGAGGAAGAGGAGGAGAGCAACAAAATGAGGAGGAGGTCAATCTCTCCTAAATAGCATAACCATCCACAGAAAACTAGTAGTAGGAAAAATAAAGATAATGCTGATGTCTTAAACAGTCTGCTTTTGTTACACAGGTGAAACGAGCAACAGTCGTCATTATTTCTGTCAAATAAACACTTTGCAAGGCGCCTTCCTGCCATTCACTCTCTTTTTTCCTGCATCTCTCACCATGGCTTCCTCCAACTTCTCTTCAGATACAGGTGGCTGACTCCTGCAAGGAGGAAGATGAAAAGATGAAGAGGATTAGTTGCTTTATATAAAACTGACAAATTCCAATTTTCCGCCTCCACTCAAAAATGTGTTATGTTTATTGTTACACATTTAGAGGCCAGTCATGGTCCAGCAGAGGGCTGCGTTTCTGAACCCATCAGTCCTTTGGTCTGCAAAATGCTTGCTATAATTTTGCACAGACCAAGGTGACGTCTTCAAATGTACTGCTTTGTCTGACCAACGGTCTAAAATCCAAATATATTCTAAGGTCATTTGTGACAAAACAGCAATTCCTCATATTTGAGAGGCTAAAACAAAGCATATTTGGCATTTATGTTTAAAACAACTACAGCGATTATTCAGCATCCAAATTTCCGATTGATCAGCTAAGCAACTGGCTAATCAAGCAGCTCCAGTACAACATGCAACTTAGATGAATGTGATGTGGAAACCTGAACCCCCCAGTGAACATAGATAGAGGACAGACCTTTCAGGGAAATAAGAAATATCTTGTGTCCAGAAGGAGCCGAATTAACGGTAAGAATTTCCAAAGAGGTAAATGAAAAACCAAATCAGTCACAAATGACTGTCAATCCAAATAAATGTCTGAGGTGATCTTTAAATTTCACTAATTGTAGTTATTTATAGAAAAAAAAAACCAATTATTTGTTGGTTACAAAACATCTACTGTAAATTGCATTAATTTGTCCAGTTACTAGTAGAGCTGAAGCAATTGGCACCAATTCTTATCATTATTTTTGTAATTTTAGTCATTTTTAGGGAAACAAAAACACAGTTCCAGCTCCTCAGATGTAAGAGTTTTCTTGGCACATATAATAGTGAATTTGGTGTTTAGTACACCAAATGATTAATCAAAAAGATAACTAGCAAACTAATTAATATTTACACCTAGTTGTAGCTCTATTTACTAGCCTGACTTAGTAACGCTTCACATTTGGCTCTGGTAACGTTGGACAAGCATTTTGAACCATTTCTGATATTTTTACACACCTGCTCAAATGACAGGAAACAACAATCCACAGATTAACCAATAATGTATAGCCTAATGATTTTTGCAGTGCCAGGTGTATCTGAAGGTTCTACTAGGTACTTTGTGACAAGTACTGGTCACCATTACAGCAGCTAATCACAGGTGAGGCTGCCAGGTGTGTGTATGTGGAACACAACGTTTCCAAAGCTTCTGTGAGCCCATTAGAGCTGCTTACAGGATTCAAGGGAGCCACGGCAGCAACAGTAATAGTCTGTACAGAGGATTCAGCACACTGGACCTTTACTGTTGCACTTAAATTGGTTTAATTGTTCCACTCTGCTCTGCTAGGGAAGTAATGTAAGCACACTGAGCCATGTCTGCTCTGATACAAAGCGCCGAACCCGCCAGGGTGGAAACACACCACACCACAGACACCGACGTCACGTATCCAAACAGCAAAATACATTTTCATATGCGTTTAGGTCTCACTTTTCTTATATTACCTTTACCGGGAGGCTTGTAACGAGTGTAAAAGGCTGTGTTTTAACTCGTTGCTCTTTGCCAATTCCTGCGCCTCACGGTGTCCTCATTTTCCGACTTCCGGTTAGCAAGGACTAACTTCCTGCCAAATAAAGACCCCTTCACGGTGGGTTTAAAGACACGGAGCCGTTACTGAAGTAGTTGGGTAAACTTTGTGTTACTACTTTACTAATACAGCTAAATCTATTCTTTGTTGGCTATTTTAAAGATGTAATAAAGAACGACATAGAAAATTGAAACAAATGTATATTGCGTAGTTGTATAGATATTGTAGTTCACCCAACGTCCACCAGGGGGCAAGGAAACCTTAGTGAGGCCAAGTCCTCCTGCACAGCAAAGGTCTGTACAAAAGTAAAGCGAAACACTAAAACACTCACACACCCATATACAGAGGTGGAATTATCAGTGTTAATACTATATAGAGCTACAGTAAACCATAACACAGTACACTTTCAGGTTACCCTATATCAGTGGTGGAAAAAGTGGGCTATTCTGATCATGTACTTAAGTAGTAATACCACATTGTAAAAATAGGATGGTATTACAAGTACATGTCCTGCATTCTAGGTTTCATTTGAGTGAAAATGTATTAACATCAAAATATACTTGATCTACTAAAAGTAAAAGTACTCATTGTGCAGAATGGCACATTTCACATTATATTACATTATGTGATTATAGTTATTGATGCATTACTGTGTTAATCACTTTAATGTTGCAGCTGGTAAAGGTGGAGCTAATGTTAACTAGCTTATATAATTAGGCCTATAATTTGAAGTACTTTGCTTACTGCTAGGTAGCTTAATTCTCCACCAGGGGTCAATAAAGTTTTATGATTATACCATGTTTTGTTTTATTCCTCTGATTCTGACACACTGCTAAGGCTGTCACACACAAGTAGTGCAGTAAAATGTACAATATTTGTCTCTGAAATATAGTGAAGTCAAAGTATGAAGTAGAACAAAATGGAAATACTCATAGTAAAAACAAATACCTCGAAATTGTGCTTAAGTACTACAGTATTTGAGTAAATGTAATTACAGTGGTTACTTTCCACTGCTGCCCTATATGTTCTGTATCATTCCTATATACAGTTTGTTTTCACCTTATTTTATTTTATTGTATCTGGAAAGAGATGAATACTGATTTAGGGATAGTTTTCCCACTTTGTAAAAATCTGTTTCACCTGCTTATCTGGTCTGTTTGTTCTTGTTCTGTTATAACAGCTACTATAATTTCAATAAAGAATTTTTACTGAGATTATTAAAGTACTCTGTCAGTATGCAGTCCATATGGGGCACTTGTACTTTTGCTATTTCCATTTTTATGCTATTTTATACATAGTTACTAGTCACTAACTACAGAGCATCATGCCCCCCCCAGCAGTCTAGGCCTAGAAGAGGAGCTTGACAGCTAAAGGCTCTGCCTCCCTTTCTACTTCTGTGGACTCTAGTTTGTCATTTGGATACGTGTTCCACTGTAGATTTCACAGAGAACAATCACAAATAAAGTCAAACATAAGGTTATGATCTTATATGGAAGACATTCGTCAAGATTTGGCTAAAGATATTTGCCATAATAATTAGCATACCTTCTACTTGCCTAATTTGAAATACAATCTATAATATATACATATATATTGTAATATATTGTATATATATATAATAATATATACTATATATGCCCATATGCAACTGGATTATAATACACAGGGTGACGGGGGCAACCACCTTTACTATGACTAAGCCTAGCTCAGTGACCTCTCTCACCTTTCAGTAGGATGACGCACTTGTTTTGTACAGGTGAGTCTGTGTAGTCTGGACTGAATAACACACAGGTGAGATGATGAGGCCCATTGTTCTGTTCGGTAGCAACAGGCACAGCTGAGAATAGACAATTATGACTAGCACATCTTCCTTTAAATGTGCCTTCAGGGAATCACTGGGATGTTTATAGGCTGCAGGACTTTGAGTAAAGGGGATTTACTGTGGGTGGTAAAATACTTATCATAAATGATAGAATACAGTGCAGTGCATTGATTTCTGCCTCTACAACCTTAAAAAACTACTTCTTTTACACTTTCACTCTGTGTGTCTCACATACATATAATGCAGCACAGTCACACACATACACACACGAAGATGACAGACTATCCCGTGGCCCAGTTTCAGTGGACACAGTCACAACAAACAGCCACACTGTTGTCAGGCAGAGCACTGAGTAATGACCACACAGGATTTGTTAATCACTTGATAAGATCGTGCAACCAGAGCTGAGTATCTGTGCCATTATATCAGCAGCAGACACACTGAACGACCTGCTGCCACGGTGAAGGTGGAGTCGGGTGGAAAGAGGTGGAGGGACACAACAGACAGTGGCATCATTTACACAGATTAGACTTGTCTAATGTCACACAGGGTTCCCTCTAATCATAACATCAACTAACTTAACATAACCTAATGTAGCTTAATGTGAGAAAACAATGACATGTGGGCCGTGTATTGTAACCAAACATTTAACTTTAAAGTAGGGCTTTAAAAAACCTGACATGCCAACATGATGTGACCTGACCTAAGGAGATGTGTTGAGACATAGTGAGAAAAGCAGGCGTAAATAACATGACAAATCTTTGACATAACCCGGTGTATTAAAATATAGTGGAGCCTCAATTTGTGACAGGATTTGATGTAAATACATGTTATATAAAAGGTTATATAACATAACAGCAGCATAAACTGAGGTGATTAGGCTTCACATGACAAAGCACTGGAGGTCACACAATGCAGCATCATGTGAGGTCACATAAGTTATGACATAATGTGATGTGAAGTGTAAAGTCCAGATAACATGTGACCCCTCTGACCCCAACATGACATAATGTATCAATATGTCAAGACCAGTTCACTTCTGTGTGTTTAACTTACTAGATAAATAACGTAGACTCGCCCTCCTGAGTGGGCACATTTCAAGGTAGGGTCTCAGGTAACAAATAATCAAACCAGCTCATTAAAAAGCTCTTTACTAATGCATTAATGAGCTCTTGATTTATTCATTGTTATTTATTATGTCACTGTGTGATAGCAGCAATTCATATATGCTGGACTAACCAGAGTTCAGTGATCCTGGAGCCCCACAGCCCGGTTTGAACTGGCAGCCCAGTGCAGAGCTGTGGATCCCCTCTCAGTCCGAGTCTAGACGCTGAGGGGTACTTAGCGATGAGCTCATTGTTGTGAAAGCCAAACAGCAACCTCCCTGGGGAGAACATGAGAACCCATGAGGCTCTGATCACGGAGAGAAGAAAGTGACGATGGTTTCTCTTGTTGATATAAACAAGGAGCACTCCGGGGTTTACGTGCCAGTGTCTCTGAGCAGAGTTTACAGCTGAAATATCAACTTATATGGGACTTTCCTCAAAGAAATTCAGAAAATACCAGATTACAGCATCTGCCTTACTTTAAAATACCTCTTTGTTTCCTTATCAAGCAGTTTTGTGTCATAAGAAAACAGTCTAGTGAAACCCCCAAAATAAGAATCAAGACTGACATGGGCTGACCAGGCTGGCTGTTGATTGGCTGGATCATCCTGTTGAATATTCGTGAAGATATACAAAAATACAAATGTGTGTAACTTGAACAGTGTAGAGTTTAGTTAGGATTCTTATATTCAAAGCAGACACGTCTATCAATAATTCTAAACTGTTTATCACATGGATCTTTTGACACTGTAGATTCATAGGAACAGCTTTAGGTCAGAGGTCAAAGGTCGGCCATATGTACAAAGGAGCAGCATAGCCGCTAGTTGAGTTCATGGACCAAAACTGGGGCTTGAGAGAGAAGCAGTGATAGTTAAGCTATGCTGCTGTACTAAACATTTAAACTGTATTTCAGTGTTGGTCTGTCAGTCATATAAACAACCGGTGCATTGCCAGGCCACCCTTTCTATTTGACCTTTTCATTTCCAACTTATGAAACATTACCCCAGGGGTTACAGTTCTGTGGTGGGGTAGATTTTGAAGTTGTGAGGTTTAGATTAGGGACTGAAGTGCAGAGTGAGGGAGAAAAGAGCGGCCTGGTTCTACTGCAGAAGTGAGACATAAGGCGGCAGCTTTCATTTACATGTTTATCACAACTGCAGAGGTATAGATTACTTGTCAGAGAGGGGGGGGGTGTGTTTCTGTCAGATACAGGTGAGCACAGAGTCCGGGTCCGAGAGCTGTACACCTTATCTGGTGCCGTCATGTCTTCTCTCTGTTGCATGGCTGCTCTCAGGTTACAGTGTGTGCAACCCTCCCAACACACACACACACATTGTAAGACAGAAAACAATGTTGATGATGCAGCTTGGAACCAAAAACCTGGCAGGTGACCTGATCCCAGGTGGGATCAGTCATGGGTTGGCATCAGCAGGTGTTCTGACTGACCCTTCGGCCTGCACGGTCAGAAGGAAGTGACATAAATAAAAATGTTCAAAATCAAATCAAATGGTTCAATAATACTGAGAAGAAGCAAGATGAAAATGATGACGAACAAGAAAATTAAATATAAAAATGTTACAAAGTGCTATAGAAGAAACTTTGAGCCAGATAAACACAGGTGTTAAGGCTGAAGTGTTGCACTGAATTGCATACAATTGTACAGGTGTACCTAATAAAGTGGCCAGTGAATGTTTTTTCCCATAAAATGTATGGCCTTTATAATCTTTTGACAAACTTGTGACACATTATTATTATTATTACTAATAAAGTAATTTGTGATATTTGGAATAAAAAGCAACAAGTGCAAGATGAAACGCAGCCAAACAGGATTTGTGATGGGAACAGTCTTGACTTGCATTAGCATTCATTATCTAGTCTCTACAACTAACTGTTGACCACGTGTCATAAAAAGTCTGTCGTTCTCAAAGTTGGCAGAGGATATTCGTCCGGGCATGTACCTGAGAGGAGGCACACGCCCCTGCACCCTCTCCTCCCCATTAAAGTGCTGTGCAGCAGCCTGCTGCTGGAGGAGGTGGTGCGGGGTGCTGAGACAAGCTGCCATTTCCAAGCCGATTAAACAGCCGCTGCTGCAGCTTGGCTGAGCCACTCCTGTCTCATGCCCTGCAGCTGAGGGGGGCGCCTACAAGACAATGATCTGAGGGTGAGGGGTCAAAATGACGGGGGTTTCTCAAGTCATTTGGGATGTTAATATTATGCAGGGTCTTCAGACTATAGGGTGTAAAAGCTTGAACAATTAGGCTGCTGCTGTGCAACTTTACCTCAGGTTTCTTTTATGAAAAATCACTATAATGAATATGAGGGTGGTAACCTGAACATCAAGCTGCTGATATGTAGATATATATAACTGCACATTTGGATTAAACAACTTGTGGATTCCAGTGTTAACAGAACTTCCACTAGTCTAAGCGTCAAGTGCGGAGTGTGAACCTTTGGTTGTAAAGCCATCACAGCTACCTCAGAAGGAAACACATAAACACCCATCTGAGCTTCTTTTGAAGCTGGAATTAGATCTGCACTGGCATTTGTTTTGAATCAGTCCACAGTTTGACATGATGGTGTTCAGGGTAAAAACTAAAGTGTATGGTTTATCAAGTATCAAAATCACATGTAATAGCAATGAAATTTTGACAGACACATTTTATTTATTTATTTAACCCTCCTGTTATGTTGCGGGTCAAATTGACCCACGAATATAACTGCTTTAAATGACACAAATATTTGATATGAAGAAATGTTCATAACAGGATGTTCATTTCTTCATATCAAATATTTGTCTCATTTAAAGCAGTTATGTTCGTGGGTCAATTTGACCCGCAACATAACAGGAGGGTTAAAAGGCCACAGAGTCTCGTTGATAGCTGCAAAGAAAAATTCCATTCCACTGAAGAGAACTTTCCATATTGAGCCTTGGATTTACTGCAAATCTGATGCTAAAATAAAAGCTTTAAAATAGTTTTATTTGTTTTTTTCAGTAAATAATGGAAACTAATCTTCTAAATAAACCCAGTGGAGGTGTCTGACCTGTTTAACAACTCATAAACTTTCTTTCATAATCATGCAAATCAAAACATCACAACAGGCAAATCTCCAGGTTCCCATTTTAGATGAAGGCCATCTAAAATGCAGACCATGTGACTCTAATCACAGTTAGTCAAGAGTAAATACTGAGTTGATGTTTGCACATGAATAGGATGCAGTTGTATTGACACATCACTGCTGTAACTGCCAGCCTATTTTTGAGACTATTAAAATTCACTGAAATGTTAGCTGACATTGACACGGCAGGATGTGACTTAAAAAACCTGTTACTTGATAAAATGTAATGCACCAGCTGATCCTCAAGACAAACCACATTATCCACTGGACAGTAACTGTACACCAGCATTCATTAGTTTCGACAGCAGACTGATGGGGAATCCCAGGCATTTTAAACCTACACATCATGGTATCACATGAGTGGATGACTGGTGAGACATCTTAAGTCTACATTTTATGTCCATTATTTATTATATCTTGTTGCACCTGTTAATGAGATTAACCTGCACCATCAAGTGTCAAAATCAGCCGAATGTATAGGTGAGAGTCACAGGTCTTTTGGTGAAGAACCTTGATGTAAGGCTTGGACCAACCCTCTCCTCCCAAAGCTCAGTGGTGCCAGACAGTACTGACCCATTCACAATAGGTATAAATGGATTTGCCACTCACTGCATTTGCAACGAATGTGTTATAAACAGTGTTACTTTGGACTAAAGGTTGGTTCCACTCCACACATGACCACATTGTGTTAGTTTACAGCTTCTGCAGATGTGTCAGACAGAAGGAAACTGGGGGTAAGCCACCGGGAGGGTGAGGGAGAGGAGGACTGTGTGTCTGTGTGTATGTGGGGGCAGGACCTGTTGATTCATGTCGCATGGGGAGGAAATGTGTTGTGTTCTGAAATGACAAATGGGACAAAAGGGTGAATGCAGGATAGGAGGGACAATAACTATTAAATCATTAACCCTCTGGAAGAACTTTCTGATGACTAAGAGACAGACGTGGACAAACTAGAAAGGAGTTAAACTAAAAATGCATTTTTGTAATAGTGCACCACGAAAAATAATTAAATATATGTATAGCTATAGAATAGGGACAGCTGTAGGAAGGAAGCATGTCAGCACTTGTTGGGGAGAAGGAGAGATTTGGGGAAGGAAGTCAAGTTAGTCACACAACACTGGCCAAAACATAAAAAATAAAAGCCTGTTTACTTTCTGTACACCGGTGCACAATAGTGAGTGGGTGAATAACTTAATGTGCACATAATGTAAGGCCAAATATGTAGTTTGGTTCTGACCAAGTGTATATTTTTCGTTGTTTAGACAATGCACCTCATGCAGTTTTTCATGTCTGACAGTCACGGTGCACGGGGAAAACACAATGTAGCTGTAACCCTCTCTGTGGCTGAGAGGTCAGTAATTCGTTTTTTTATTTGATTCTCTATTCTGTATAAATGTTTTAAAGATGTTTAAAATCGACACGATCTACAAAACATTTTAAACAAACTACTTTGCCGTGCTCTATTATTCGTTTTATTCTGAAAACGCCTACCGGATGTTGGCTCTACTTCTTGTGTCTTGACGAATCGTAGTAAAGCAGCAGCACAAGTCGGAGCTCAGACATAAAAGTCCGGGCACTGGAAAAGCACGGGCAGCTCTTGGCTCCGCTATTCGGCACATCTTGTCGGCTGCGCGTAGATATTTTGTTTTGGTGGATTAATAAAACAGTAAAAGAAGCTTATTATCAATCGAGACAATCCAAACCAGGACCTGGCATGAACAGCCACATTTTCCTCCCAGTGGACTTTAACACCTTGTGATTCTTCGCCCGTCGCATCTTCTGCTTGTTTTTACTCTGATGTCCTCCCGTTGCCGTCGGCTTCTGACCTGCAGACAGCTTCAACACGGATCGTCACCCAGAGCAAGTAAGTGGAGAAGTTGTGTCTTTTGTTGCTGCACAAGTTGGTTGTGAATTTGACGGCGCAAAGTTGTGTCATCTGTCCAGCTGTACTGTAAAGCTGCACTTTAAACTTGGACTGAATTTGACGCTGGCTACGCTGAATGCCGTTATTTGCTAACGTTAGCCGTAACTTAGCCTTTATTACAGGTCTACAGTGTTGAATGCCGCTATTTGCTAACGTTAGCCGTAACTTAGCCTTTATTACAGGTCTACAGTGTTAGCAGTAGGTTTTAGGTTTGGTTATTATTGGATAGCGGACTGATCTTTCTTCAACCCTTTGGGGTTTGTTTCATCTGGGAGACGGGTCCCGACATGTCAGACAGCCTACAGGAACGGTAACAAGTCAAATCACCAGATAACCTTAGTGTGTCGTATTACGATATACAAAGAGGCGCAGATGTGTTTCGCTGTGGTTTGTGTCCAATGTCAAGACTTGTGGATTGGGACAAATTAAAGCCTTGTGAATTGTTCTTCGTGGTTTTCTGCTTCTGGCCTAAAAGAGAAGCGCAGGGTCATTGCACTCATGTTTGCTCGGACGTCGACTGCAGGCTGACCCATCGGGGAAGAGCTCGACTTTGTCCCCAGAGATAAACGGGTTGTAGTCCACGTTCACCGGCACCGTTTTCTGCTTGATAAGCTACCAAACGCTGCTGTTTCCATACATATCTACTGTTAAACGGCGACCGAGGACCGCGGACCGCCTCTGAGCACGCGCCTCTGCTCCTCTGTGTATGTGCTCGCGCGGCACGGATTGTTTACAAACACAGGTCTCGTGCTCCCGAAGGGGTCCCGCTGCTGCCCCCTAACGGCCGGAAAGAGAAGAGAGGCGGGCAGGTCAAAGGTGTGGAGCACGGGGAGGAGAAGAAACAATGGCGTTGCGAATAAAACTGCGGATTCCCATCCATCCATTATCTCCACCCCTTATCCTGAATAGGGTCGCAGGGGGCTGCAGCCAATCCCAGCTGACACTGGGTGAGAGGCAGGGTCCACCCTGGACAGACCATCAGTCTGTCACAGGGCTGACATGTAGACAAACAACCACACACTCACACTCGCGCCTACGGACCGCATGTCTTTGGACTGTGGGAGGAGGCTGGAGCACCCGGAGAGAACCCACACAGGCACAAGGAGAACATGGAGACTCCACACAGAAAGGCCCAGCACCTCACTGAGGCACTTAGTGTTGGGTTCTCCTTTCATTTGTCACCATCTGTATGTTTCACTTTACTGTGTGTGTGTATTAACATATGTTCATGCATGTCCTCCACATGTGATTTAGGCTACTGCTGAGATGGCCCGTGCAGAGACCATCGAGAGCGTTGGGGAAACTGGAGGAGGAAACACTTCCCTTCCTGGCCACAACACCTGCCGCATGGAGCTGCCTCAGCATTTCCACCCTGGGCCCAGCCTGCTCACCCCTACCGCCATCACCAATGGCTCCAGGACTGGTGCCATACACCTCCAACATAACCACCACCATCTGTACCCTTTGCAAGCTTTCTATCTGTCGCTGCCTTACCCCCACCCAGAGGGCCAGGACGAGCCCCAGACTCACCAGCAGCTACCTGCGTTATTGCCATCAGCAGCGCCTCCTCCTTTGCCACTTTGCAGCCAGAGGGAAGAGAGAGGTGGAGGCGCAGTAGCACCCAGTGCCTTCTCAGGAGAGCAGCCAGGTACGATCACAGTATATGCAAGAGTTCTGGGTTTTTAAAGGGGAGTCGCAGGGTAGAAGCTTAGAGGATAAAAATATTACACTTATGATAATAGCAACAGGATTGTAGCATATTAGGTTAGTTCTCGTTTGTTTTGACAGACAAGGAAAGGGGCTAAAATATATCACATCAGGAATGATCTAGCCTGGCAGAACAAGCAACAACAGAGCCAGGATAGGTTTTTGGCCATTGCTGCCAAGTTCATGGCTGCAGGAGCAAACTGCACAATTACTTGATGAGCAGCAGTGGATGCAGCTTCCCATAAAATGGTGGAAATGATCCGATGGTACTCAGCCACACAGGACGGTTGGTCTTTCAAACCTCCACCCTTTAGTAAACAGAGAACTTATCTGTTAACAGGAGAGTGGGGGTTATTTGTGTTCTGCACTGTTACCATGACAGGAGACTGTTTGGGCAGTGTTGACAGGGGACAGGTGCACGTGCATATGCGTGTGTGTGTGTGTGTGTGTCATGAGGAGATGTGGAGAAAACGTGTTATCTCCTGCTGCAGAGTGGCCTTGTAACCAGCAGGGCGACACAGGATTCAGACAGTAGGCTACAACTATGCTATGAAGCAACGATGAGCATTAATACAGAACATTTTAAAAAGACTCTCTTCCATTCCACTCAAATTAGGGATTAATGGACTGAAATAAGAATAAGACTTTTAGTTGCTGTGCAAAGTGCTGAAGTAGTTGGTGCTCATTGTAATAATAGAGTACTGCTCGTCCTTTTGCTGTCATCCTGGATAGTAACAAAACATGTCTACAAGCTGCAGAAGTTGTCAGTGATTCTCTTCAGCTGCAGAAGTGAACCATTTCTCACTTTATTTCATTTCTTTCAGTTCACTGGGCAACAGATTTTATTCCAGAGGGGAATTTGGAAGCTGTAATACAGGAAATTCAGGTGGTAACAGTGGCTCAGCAGGTTTGCATTTGGCACTCAGCCACTGTTGTGACAGATTAGTAGCAGTGCAAACAGAATAGCTGCTCACCCCTCCTCCACCTCCTCTCAGCTGTAGGTCAGCTGTGCAGCGTGGGCATGTTCAGACTTGTCCTGTGCACTGCCTGCAATAAAGAAACAACCTGCAGCACTGAACTGCTCAGCCAGGCAGCACAAAGTCAAGCCTGTTAGTCATTTATCTAGTTTTTTACCCCAGGTAAATCAGGCCAGGCAGTCAGGTCACAGATTTCTCAGTGCACAATTCATGTAGGTACGTTTGTTGGTTAAACGTTCAGAAAAGTCCATTTGTCAGACTCAGCATTCTTAATCACACTAACAGTCGGTCTGTAAATGAATTATTCTGTTAGCTTCTGAACAACTAGCCTAGCTAAAAACTTTATTCAAACACTTGGAACAAGTCATGAGTCTGTTATTCAATCAGCCATTTACTTAATAAATAAGACTGATTAATCAGTTGTGGTGCTAATTAGTCATCATTAAGTCACCAGTCAGTGCAGATTACCAGGGTTAAGCTGTCACTTAGTCAAGGTAGTCAGTAAACCTGCCAGCATGTTGGACTGTTAGTCACTAAGCAGTAGTGTCAGCTTGTAGAAGCATCTATCAGTTATTTGTTTAGTCAGTCTGTTAGCTGTGTTGTTACCGTGGTTAGGGAGTGATCCAGCTCAGCACTAAGCTTTCCACCTTAGTGTAGCTGGTTTAGTCTGTTTTGATTTTTAACACTCCCCTACTTAACTGGTCAGGGGGTCTCCCTCTGTCACCTGGTCAGTCTGTCAGCCTATGGGTTCATCCACAGCCCCGCCCCCTTCCCTGCCATCCACCCTATCACAGGTTGGATCCCTGCGCTGCCAGCCAATCACATACAGACATCTCCAGGAGTGCAGCCTTAGAGTTACCTTGGCAACAAGCCAGGGTTTCCCCACTCTCTCTTTTCTGTTTGTCTGTCTTTCTGCCTCTGTGTCTCTGTCTAGTCACCTGCATCAGATGTAGTCCTCCTGGCAAAGCAGATGCTGTTGTTGCCAGGGGCGCCCGTTTCTGTGGCAACCCGAGTTGTGTTTGCCACAGGTGCTCAGCTTCATCCTGGAGACAGGGGCCACTTCACAGAAAAGCTGTGATTGGACAAAGTAAAAAAACAAAAACAAGCTGGGGTGTGTCAGAAAAGTTAGAACAGGGTATGTGCACATCTGGAAAGAGCTGCTATCACCTCCACACAGTAATGCTAAATAATCATTTAGGTTAAACACTTTTCATTGTTGGTTGGATAATCAAACTAATGAGAAATGGCAACATCACTTCCTGTCTTCAGCGAGTAGATCAAAATAAAATGAAGGGCCAATAAATATAGTTCTTCATTTGTTTTATTTTATTGAATTCCAAACCAGAGAAAAGCAAAAAAGAGGAAGTGTCACTTCTGTGGGTTTCCTCTGGTAGTCAAACTCATTCATGTTGCCAGATGCTTACGCTCGTCCACATTATACAATAGGGTTTACTTGAATGAAGAAAACCTTTCTGCAAGAAAAGTTACTAAATAAGTCAGGAAGTATCAATAAATGTGTAAAAAGCCAATTAATATCTTTTCTGAACTGTTAGAAAATACTTTGGAATTGAAAGAACAGTCACATTTACCCACATCAGCTCTTGCAGGTTATTTGTGTTTGTCACACTCCAATGACCAGACAGAAGGTACAGGTGTCTCTCTGTTTTTAAAAAGTCTGTAAACACATAACACACACACACACACACAGTACCTCACAATACCAGACTTATTAAGCAGATTAAGAGATTACTCTCCCACGTTTGATGAAACTAAGTCACCATCACCCCATCAGCTTCCTTAGGAAATGTGTGAGCTAGATAAACTGTCTTACTGGGAACGACAATATCTGAACCTTCTAATGTTATAACTGTATAAAGTTATCGTTCATAAAACAGCATGTGAGCGTATGAATGTCTTTGTCCTGTAACCTGAAGGAGTCCAGAGCAGAGGGGCAGCACGTGGGAACAGTCGAGCACAAAGGTGCAGAACAAGTCAAAGAACAGATGTGGACCCTGAGCAGCTATGATTAGATTCCCCTGACAAGTTTTACCCACATACTCGATTCACAGAGCCAAACACTGTCACACCTATATGTCAGTGTCAGCACAGTCATGCACACTATATACAGTCAGTTTGATCTGTCCTGTATATGTCGATTCGGTTTTGTTTGGATGTCAGTGGATTGTTTGGCTGTGTGCTGATGTGTTTGCTGGTTGGCAGCCTGCTCTGTTGTCTGCCCATGTATTGCTATGTGTGCACAGATCCCCCTGATGTGAACTGGCTCCTTAGTATTAATGTATGCTGCTTGTTGAGAATCAATTAGGCTTAACCAGAGGGTCCGTGTACCCGATAAAGCACTTCTGTCTCTTCATACGTGAACCTTTCTTCTCAACAGACGCACACAGAGCGAGAGCATGAGGAAGAACAATGTTAAAAATAAGCTGAGAGAGAAGGAGGAGTGCATAGTTTTTCTCTGTTAATGTCCAGTTTTCTGAGTTTATTTCACTTTATCCTCTGCAGCCTTGGGCAGAGAGCGGCGCCCGGAGGCCTCCATCCGGCAGGAACCTCTGCCTGACCTGCTGCCACAGAATGAACATCCATCCTGGGCTTTTCAGCACCACAGAGCCGCAAGGGGAGAGGCGTCGCAGGAGGTCAGGAGAGTGGCCAGTCAGCTGAGGGCCATCGGAGATGACTTTAACGCTACAGTCCTCCGCCGAGCGGTAAGACCAGGGAGGGGTCTCATGATTTATGGTACGTCTGGTTTTTAGGCCTTAGGTTAGCTAGTCTTTGGTTTTTCTGGGGGGGGGTTAGGGTTCATGTTTGCCACAAAATATATGAACCTTAAAAACAAATGAGCGTGATAATGATTTTTGGTCAGTTTGATGATAAAGATCACATTTATTGTATTTTAAGTCAAAGTCTTATCTAATGTTTTTCTTTTTGGTTATTTCACTTTGAATGTGTGTGTCTGCCTTCGCATGAGGCTAATTAAAAAACCTGGAGAATAGCACAACAATAGTAATTATGCAAAGGTGACATACTGTATGTTTTTGTTTAGAGGCTTATAAATCGTGTGACAACAAACATTGTAGCTGGAGTTTAAAACTTAACATTCACACTTCCTGCTGTGTGTGTTCCATTTTAATCCAGGACACTTCCTCACACGAGACTTGTGATTTCACTTTATCTGTGTATTCTTCTTGGCTGGTCAAGGCCCGTTCTCATAGGAAGCGTTTTGTCACTCATTCCCCTCACGCAACCGATAAAGGTCCAATCTGTCTAATGTGTCAGTGCACACTGACTCAGAGACACGTCACCCCCCGTTTTCACTGCCTCAAGTTTAACACAGCTGTTCTGATCACAGTGACACTGCACCGAGGTCGTAGTCGGTGTGGCCTGAACGGATCAAATGCTTCAGCTTTTTGCTGCCCACTTCTCACGTTTCGTCTCCCAGTCCCAGAATGCTAGCTGCATGCACCGCCTGCCGCTTGTTGTCCAGTTTGGTAGGAACTGCGCTTCACTGTGTACCTGTGTGGCTGGCTGTCAAAATAAAAGCACACAAACATTGATGTTTAGGTTTTGCATGGTTGTCATCGGATCACAGGGGGTGTTTGATCAGTGTGCCGATCAGATCCATGGATCGTTAACACCTTTATTTGTTGGTAAAATTTAGAACGAACAGAATGTCGACTGTGACACGGGCCTCGCTAAGATGATAAAAACGAAAACAGCAGATGTGAATAATTGAAAGGTTAACACCACCTGAGGATTCGGTCTGACTGCAGTGAGCGCCCCTGTTGTTGTGCAGCGACTGTGTTCCCTCCACCTGACTGAGTGAGGTTGTGTGTGTCTTTGTCACATCGATTGTGCTGCTCTCTCGCTCTGTCAGCCCAGTGCGCTCTTGCATAGATGAACATGTGAGGTTGCCTGTACTGTTACGTGTGTGTGTGTGTGTGTGTGTATGCGGCAGTAGTGAAGACAGGATCAATACGTACACGTGTATGTGTGAGAGTGAATCGATGTCATCTGTGTTGTGTGCTGGCCTTTCCCTTCCTTCTGTCCTCTCTCATTTGATCATTTCAGCTCTTCTTTGCCTTTTTTGTGTTGACTTGGTTTGTTATTGATGTTTAGAGACGTTATTTCCCTGCTCTCGCTTCACTCTTCCTTCTCTCTCCACATAAATGACATTATCACACACACCGTCTTCTGTAGTTCTTCCTTCCTCCCTCCCACACTCGATTTCCATTTCACTTTGTTTTCTTGTCTTTTACAGGTTCATTCCTCGTCACTCTTGCTTACACTCTCTGCCTCGTTCGTATAGACCCAGTAACTGTATTAGTACAGTAGTTTTCCAGAAACTACAGTACTAATACAGTTACTAAATGTCTTTTCCCCTAAAAAGAACCAAAGTCTTGATGCTTTCAAAGCGTCCTGACTCACGTAGCCCAGCTGGTTGTGAAAGGCACATGTTTCTCCACTGTCTGTCTCTTTTATTGTTATTTCTTCATTTCGCCCTCTCCCGCCCCTCCCTTCCTCTGTGCTCTAGATCGCGTGAGGACATGGCAGCAACA